TTCTTGAGCTTTGGGGTTGGGGTCAATGTGGTCAGCATAGGTGGTAAGGCGAGTGTCAGTTTCACCAGGACCTGCCTGTCCCCACACAGTCACTGGGACACTGGGGTCCTCCTGCCAGTGAGGAATCCTGCCTGCCCCCCTTTCCTGTCCTCGCCTTTCTTTCCTCCCTCCCTCTCTCCCTGTGTTTCCTAAGGGCTTATGCCGGGCTTGGTCCTGAACCTGAAGAAATGATCAAGGATGAATGCCCTCTTCCCTGTCAGGACTGTGACAGGATGTCTGTTTCTCTGAGGTCTCATCTAAACCTGTGTTATTTATTTGTTGAGACAGGGACTTACTCCATCACCCAGGCTAGAGTGTAATGGTGTGATCATAGCTCATTGCAGCCTTGAATTCCTAGGGTCAAGCAGTCCTCCTGCCTCAGTCTCCCCAGAAGCTAGGGCTACAGGCATGTGCCACCACGCCTGGCTATTCTTCCTTATTTTTCAGAGACAAGTCTTGCTATGCTGCCCAGGAGGGTCTCAAATGCCCAGTCTCTGCAATCCTCTACCTTGCTGCCCAAAGTGCTGGGAGTACAGGTGGGAGTGCTGCATCTGGACTAACCCTATGTCTTTCATCCTCACCCTCACTCTCTGCTCTAAATATTTGGCATATTGAGAAGTTAAAGTTAACATGGGATCTGTTTTTACTGTGGGTATCTGGATTCCACCCCAACTCAGACACCTGAAATTTTGACACCTTCCTGAGAACATCTTTGTCTGTGAGAGAAATTTGGAAAGACTCACTGAACAGAGTCAGATCTTGGCAGGTTGACGTGCCATTTTACCCCCAACTCTGGAGAGACCCGAGGCACTCCCACGCACATTTGCCACTGCGGGGCTGAGCCTCCCTCATCAGCCACTGCACAAAAGAGCCTCCCTCTGAAACAGGGAGTCGGGAGACTTGACAGTGTGCTGCTTCTACAGATATTTTACTACAATCATTTTTATAAAAATCTTTGAAAAGAGAAGCAGAGCTGGCCCAGGAGCACGCTGAGAGCAAAGGTTTTCTCAATCATTCTTATCTTTTGACAAGAGGTCTTAGTTTAGCTTTCATGCGATTATTACACTAGAATTTTCTTAGCTTCGTAACCTGTCTCCTAACTGCAGGAAGGATCTCTGAGCAGCTTTGGCTGCAATGGACTGAGGGAGAAGGAAGGATGCGGGATAGGCCATGGCTGCAGGACCCACACACAGCTGGTGACCCTGCCCCAGGCCCCAGATGAGGTCTGCATTTGGGCTGCTCAGAGTAGGAGACAGGGATTCAGCCCCTGCAACAGGGCAGGTGGAGAGGAAAACCAGAAGCAATAAAATACAAATAAACACATTCCCATCACCCAGGTAGGCAGAGCAATGGGGCAAACCGTGAGGTTTGCACAACATTGTAAGGACTATCAAATTTAAGCTTTCATTTATAAAGTCGGCTTTGTCAACTTCCTTTTTTTTTTTTTTATTAAATCATAGTTATGTGTATTAATGCAATCATAGGGTACAATGTGCTGGTTTTATATACCATTTGAAATATTTTCATCATCACCTTGTTCTTTGAAGGCAGTGCAGGTATGCTGGAGAGCCAGATGAGGCCTTGAGTTTCAGGCATCACCTGGAAGTGTCCTGTGGAGTGCCACTGTTGGGAGCAGGTAAGAGGTGTGAACGTGCCAAGCTTTCTCAGTTTGCTTGAGTTACCTTCTCAGGAGAGTGCATTAAGAACGGCCTTATGCACTATACCCAGGACGACAGCTTGAGGCTGTCTCAGAAAAAAAAAAAAAGAAAAGAATGGCCTTATGTCTTGGTGTACATTTGTACACGTCGACCTACTTTTTATTTAACTATTGCTTTAAGTGATCATTCCTCATCAAATAGTAATGAGGCAAACATTATCTGATGCAGCTTATGTAAGAAATATAAATTAAGGTCCTAAATCACCTGGCTAATCCTTGGGCTGGAAAGTTGAAACTAGATGTGCTTTTTGGTAACTGTGATTCTAATGTCCTCCAAAAATGAGTTATCTTCCATCAGACAGGATTTGCTAACAGTCTTACCCATTTTTAGAGATTCAAGCGAGAGGCTTGTTTTCCTCTTTTCTGCTCACTAAATTGCAGCCTCAGATCCCAAATCCCAAGAACACCAACAGAGACCCAAATACTTGATAGACCTGAATGACTCTTGCTGGAGTCACCTCATTTGAACATGATCAAATACTATGAAAATAAGTGTTTTGCTAATTTTCACAGAAAATGTAACCATTTGACAAAATGCCTTTATATTTTATCTGGCTGGTTTTCATTTGTACTTAACTATTTGTTTTAAATATGACACATGAAAATGAGGTGAAGATATACAACATTCTCCCTGAACCAAACCTAGGAGAGATTAAATTTTGCCCCAAGTGAAACAGCTAAATTCAATAGATTTTAATTACTTTTGTCCCCAAGGGCTCCCCGCTCCCTTCCTTTCTTCCATTTCCCCCTTAGGTTGCAATGATTAATTTGCAAGTTTAGTCCCACACTGTCCATGAAACTAAACAAAATGTATGATAGGTGAGATGCTTAGGTGTCACATTTAAACGGACTAAGAAAAATGTTTTCAACAATGGCCTGTGTCAGTGAGCTCCACTAAGGGTAGCGGTAGTGGGTCAGCACGGCCCCCTCTGGCTCTGCTGGGCCTGGCAGCTGCCCGTGTGTTTCCCTGGAACCTGTGCTCCTTCTAGGAATAGGCCTCTAGGCATTTTGTGGGGGCAGTTTCCATTCCCGATTCTCCATTCTCAGGTTGTTCTGAAACCACGTATTCTTGGCTCTGAAGATAACAGGAGCCCATGAATTCCTTTGTATAGGGCAGCACAACTTACCAGGATGCATAGTTTTTCCTGAATGAATCCTGAGGTCTTGGAAGCCTCTGCCCATGATGTTTTCTCTCTACTGCTTTCTCTAAGAGCTCTTTTGGGCACTGAGATTCTAAGTGCGAAGCTTAATACTCACCCAGTGGAAGCAACATCCTTACTCAAAGCCTCCTAAGTTGGCTTAAACAGGAAATGGAAATGGCTGGTGTTATCCATCCTTTAAAGCATTTCTGGTGTTCAGCCGCCATGAAATGGATTGCTTATGGGGAGATAATGTCTGTTCTATTCCTTTTTAAGTCTGTGAAAAATGTCATCCTGGTTAATAGGGTGATTAAAACTCTTTATGCTTCAGGAGATAAATGTGATTATGTTTGTCATACCCTACCCAAGATACAGGCAGCAAAGAAGGAGAACTTGAAATTCCGTAACATTTCCTCTCTTCCATATCCAGGGACATTCAGAACTCAATACACAGATGGTACTTCACATAAAGAATAACATTATCTGTTAAACATTTTTCCTTTCCATTAACCAATTTAACAATATGCCTCCGGTATAAACGGAATAGACAAATGACTAAATCTTCTGATTTCTGAGTTCTGACTGTGGAGAACACCAATAAGCCATGCTGCTTATTTTCTTTTAAAATTCTCATTATTGTTACCTAATTTTTGCTTTCAAAATGCAGCCAGGGCTTATGCTCAGTGCGTCTCTTAGGGATTCTGTTCCTTTCAGCTTCCCCTCAGCCTAGCACACAGCAATCTCAAACTCCTGGGCTCAAGCCTCAGCCTCCCAAGTAGCTGAGACTACAGGTGCTGGCCACCATACTCAGCTAATTTTTCTATTTTTCAGTTTATTGCTCAGGCTGGTCTCAAACTCTTGGCCTCAAGTGATCCTCCTGCCTCGGTCTCCCAAAGTACTGAGGTTACAGCTATGAGCCATCACACTCAGCCATCAATATCTTTTCTTAGAGGAGATTTAGTTAGAAATGAAAGATTAGTAAAGAGGTTTTTTCCTACTCGACATATGCTGATAAATTTCACAATTCTTTCCTTTTAGTCTTGGATTTTTAACAGGTTACATATAAATCTCAGACACTGTTACATCTGTTTAATTAACAATGCTGCAATTTCAACAGGGTAACATGTTCTAAAGAAAAATGTTACATTATGTACTTGACATTTCATTTAAAAATTTGCCTCAGAATAAAAGGTTTCTGTATAATAGAAATTTCAAATGTACTTTATTGAACTTGATTGCTGACTAATTAGAGCCTCAGCATTTATAAAGAAATTGCATGGCTGAGATTCAACTAGAGGTTATTTCTCTGGACATATTAACATGTTAAAGTATTTTTCTTCTTTAAAAATTTTCATCTCCAAGTAAAAATAACTGCATGTAGACATTTATTTTTATTTTTTTGGCCGGGGCTGGGTTTGAACCCGCCACCTCTGGTATATGGGGCCAGCACCCTACTCCTTTGAGCCACAGGCGCCACCTGAGCATGTAGACATTATTCTCCAACTGTTTTCTGCAAGAGGTCATGGAGAATAGGAGAGTTGGGTATATATGTAAGAATTTATCTTATTAGCTTCATTAGGGAGGTGGGACCAAATACTTTCTATTGAGACTCAGTACTTAGGTGGAATATAGGTGAACTGGGCTGTTTTTACTTTGACAACTGAGATAAAACTGTATTAGTCAGTGTTCAGGGATCCAAACCAACTTCTGAGAAAAGTATATTTTATACCCTTGATATCATCATAATTATTTTAGTCCAACTATACCTTTTGACAATATCATAATCATTACTGGCTTTTTGTCCTAAGAATTTATAGGGCCCTTCACTTGAGGCTATGAGGTAAATAAATCGCACGCCTGTACCAGTTGTGAGCCAAAGACTGCAACTGGGATCACAGGGCCACACCCATTTCCTGCCCTGCAGACTTAACTGTTAGCCTTACTTTGGAGTCTGGCTACCAGGAACAAGTCTTCCAAATTCTGACGGTCACACACTGATAAGAAAGGCTCATGAAACTCACTTAATTGGATACTTTCAGGCATTGCTGCTATTAGAGAGTCTGTTTATAAAGATTCTGTATCATACTTTTACTATAAACTTTTTTTTCAAGTGTAAGACAAAATTTATTGAGGGAGAGAAGAGAAAGATAGGTTTACAGAGCAAGATACATTTGCCATAGGCAGCAAACAGGCCAATAACCTTTTTTTCAAGGTACAAAACTTGGGTTTCAATTGAAATTTGATTTAAGTATCATAAACAGAAGCATTTTCTCTGGGCTCTTCTTCACATAAGGAAGTTAAATCTGTAATTAACATTTTTAAATAGTCTCCTAAACATTGGGAAAACCTTACTCTCCCCCAACACACACAGGCACACACATACAAATGCACGTGTGTGCACACATGTGCCCACACATGTGCCCACGCCTCTGATGAGGATATCAAATTCTGTCCATCCCATGGGTTCAGTCACGAATCTACCCAGCTCCTGAGGAGAAATCTATCCCAGTCCTTTTGCTGTCATGGTCTCCAGCACCACCCCTTCTGTAATAATTGTTTTGGAGTTTATCCATACTCATTTAGATTTCAATGCTTCTTCCCAGTCAACAGCTGATTTGGAGTTCTTGGGAATCGCTGGAAAAATTGATTGCATTTTACTTTGAAAGTCTTTCATCTAGAAAAGAAAAAAAAAACAGTCATCAAATGTTAAAAGGAGAAAATAGGCAAAGCTATCAGAGATGGCATCTTTGCTGACTAGGTAATACTTCACTGCACACAAATTACAGAGCAAAGTAATAACTATATAAAATAAACATTATATTCTAAGTACCTTGAAGGAAAATGGACTACCTTATTTTCTTCTTCTAAGCATAAATCTATTATCTAAATAACAAAACTTTACTCTTAATCTGGAAGGCAAGATGCCCTAAATTGTCAGCCCTCAATAATATTTATTCCCTAGCAGAGGAAAAAAAGGCATTGTTGGCTTCTATATATTAAAGATGCAGATGAGGATGGAATTTCTGTGTATGAATACACTTAGGTCATTCAAAGTTAAAATTTTAGAACCAGACAAGGTAGAAACAAGGTACTTAAGAGTTTTACTGAAGAACCAATCAAGCAATGGCGGATAAACTACAGTGTTCTTATGTGCCAAACAATGGTAAAAAAAAAAATCTATGTAGAGGTTTTACCAAGAGAAGTTGATTTGGAACCCAAGAGTCAGAGGGGGTAGACAGGGGATCTTAACATGTGGTGTCAACACAGTATCACAGTTCACCTGGGGCTCTGGTGCCACCTCAACTGTGCATCCTTATTAGGGAGAGGAATACTAATTTAAGGGAGCTGGATAATCTTTAGACCAGTGGTTCTCAACCTTGGGTCATGACTCCCAGGAACTGTATTAAAGGGTCACAGTCTTAGGAAGGTTGAGAACCACTGCTTTAGACAGACAGTACTCATAACAGCACTCCTTGACTCATCCTTTTTAACCCTTATGGTCCTGCTCTGAAGATACTATTTCAGTTGACCACAGCACGACATTACAGTTTTGTCTCACCATCCACATGCCACTCCCACTTTCTTGAAGATGGGAGATCTCCTTGTTCAGGTTTGAGAAGCACCCCGGACTCCTTGGCAACATGCAAGTGGTTTCTTAGAGTAGTTATTTTGAGAGCCAGCTTTTTATTTTATTTTATTTTATTTTATGTTTACACTTATTTATTTTAATTTGAGGCTGAATCTTTGTTTCCAAATTTAGGGGGTACGTCTTGTTTGAGACTTACACATCCTAAGCATTTACTCCAATGATCGTAGCACAGACTCTGGTATCACACAGACCTCTGTTCAAATCCCAGCTTCACCATGGGGGAAAGCTGATCACCCTCTAAGCCGTGAGGTCACCATGTGGAATGGAGGCAGCAACTGCTGCTTACAGAGATGTGAGGACTGAGAGACTGCTCCCAATACATGGTGAGTGTTCCCATGTATTAGCTGTTACCATTATAGCACTGTCAAAATATGTGTGTCATATTCCAAGAACAAAGCTCATGTGCATATAAATGATGAGGATGTCTCTGTTAAAAGCATTACTTTGTTGTTATTTATCATTATGGTTTAAATATTCTGTCCCTGGAAGATACGTTAGGCTATCCACTATTTGCTGTCTGTGGGAGGTCTGTGCTGATCATCCCAATGCCAACTAGACACAAATCTTGAAGACATAACATCCAGAGATATTTCTCTTCCCACCCCCCACCCTAATGTGGCCCTCTAGTTTATGCTATGACTAGTGCAACAGGAGAGGTTTCCAACTAGAGGCAGCATTGTTTCGCTGGGGAGCAGCTGGATCTGTGGAGGGGTGTTTTTGGTTGTCACAATTGGGGGAAACTACTATTGGCATTTGGCCTGGGAGTGAAAAAGCTTTGGGGCACAGCTTATAAATGTGGGCTTCAAGTTGCTTTAGACAATGGGCCTCTATAGGAGCTTTTTAAGCTTGTACCATTTATATTACATGGATAATAAATGAAAACCTTCACATTTCCCTCACCTATATCAATTTCTGATATTGTAGTTCAGAGAAAGTACTGGTTTTACCAATTATATTCTATATACAGGCCAACACAGTATGACTCAAAGATGTGCTTGCAAAAGATTTAAGGGTTGAATGCAGTTAAGCAAATTTGGTTATGAAATAAATGTACTGAATTCCCTGACAATCACAGCTATTAACAAAGAACTGTCTCTCTGGCCTGTAACCCCCCCATCCAGCAACTCAGTTTTACCTGGCAGCATTTTCTAAATCTATAATCTCTTCCCTGTGCTTCTCTTTCTTCCTCTGACCCGGGAGAATTTTTCCATGGTATAGCCAACAAGGTTACCCTCACAAGCAGGCCCACTATGTCCCGCCACAGCCTGTGCCCTGAACACCTCCAGGGAGTGCTCTCCACAGAGACTAAGGCATGAATAGTACTTGCTAGTGCTATAAGCCTACGGTCTGTGCCCAGAAGCTCACCCTTAAGTCCCAATGTTGTGCTTGCTGGGTTGTACTATCATGAGAAATTACCACTGTGTAAGGCAGTAGCGCTCAAATGGAGTGTCATGACAAATGGAAAAGTGTTATAACACGGAATCTGTCACAAATATGGACATTCTGAAGATTAGATATAATTGACTTTTTAGAGATCAGAACAGATTCGAGATTATGCCTCTAAAAATGTTACTCTTACTCACACACACTTCGATAGCTTTTCAAGGGTCATACAGCCAGTAGGGCAGGAGTGAGATCAACCACAAATGCCACTTAGAAAGTCCTTACTACACGCAGGCATGTTCCTCATTAAACCTTCACAATGACCAAGGGGGGCAAATGTTATCCCTCTTTTAAAGATAGAGTGATAGAAGCTTAAAGAAACTAACTGATTTGCTCAGTGTCACAGCCCGCAAAACCCAGATCAGGCTGTACCGTCAGCCTGTGCACTTCCTCAGTGCACTGTGTGAATGTGCACATGGGCTTTGCTGCACATGTACCATACATGTCTTGGCAGGAAAGAACAACTTGGAAATATTTGATCCAATATATAATATCCTGAAAAATTACTTAAAAGCTCAGGTTATGTCTCCAATTCATTTCAGAAAGTCCTTACTACATCAATTCTAATAAATAGGCCGTTATCAGAATTAAAAGCTCTGAGTTTTGAAATGTTTTTGTTATTGACTAGCTCATTTAGCTTCTATTTCCTCACTTGCAATGCAAGACTATCACTGGCCTCACTGCTGGGGGTCAGAATGATGAAAGCTTACAGGATCTACTGATGAAAAAGCCTTTAGCTATATCTATGACATTACAGCATCAATGTCAATTTTCAAGAATCTGGTAATTCGGCTTCTTCATAAAATAAAAACAGAGTACGGTCACATAATACTAATACCAGGAGATTAATAAGTATAGTTTGTAAAATTAAAATTAATAAGTATAGTTAGGTTGTAAAAATGTTACTTGAATAGGAATAATATCTACCATTTGGGATCACTTATGTGTCAGACACTGGATAAAGCATTTTGCTGTTACTGAATCTTCATGATTCTATAGGGCAGAAATTATGACTACTGCTTTACATGTGAGAAACCAGAGGTCAGAGAGGTTAACTTGTCCCAGGGGACTTGGCTTATAAGTACAGTTGTCTGACTGATGCCCATAGCTCTTTGGTTCTGTATCCTGGAAAGACAAAGTACCTCTTATAACTTCTACCATTGTATCAGCTTTCACTAAAAATGACTTAAAAAGCATATAATACATACTTCTTGCAGTGGTGACTATTTTATTTTGAATGATATGATGGACACATGTTTGCCGACAGCCAGTACTCATCTATTTCTGGATACAGGGGGTTTTATTTCCCTATTGCCTTGAGGTTAGGTAACCACGTGACCAGTTCTGGCAAATGAAATGTGAGCAAAAGAAATGTGTCACTTCTAGGCTGAGCACTTAATTATAAGGGCTCAGCTCCCTCAGACTCTTCCCTTTCCATAGTAATCATGGAAATCTGTGTTTCTATTGTGGTATCTCAAGATCATAGCAGTTTGAGGTGCTGAGCCAGCACATGGAGGATCACTTTCCTACACAGCTGCTTGAACCCACAGTAGACTGGCAGACTATTTTTTATTGCAACATAACTCGGCTTATCCTAGTTGATTAATAGAGGTGGTAAAGACAATTATAAAATAGACTTGAGATGTTGCTCTGATGCCCTGTAATAAGCACATTAAATTTGGCTGAAACACAGTTGAATAAAAACTCAGGGGCTGAATAAGAGGGAAAAGGAATGTTGAACTTTTTAAAAAAGCTCTTACAACCACCTGGAACAGCTGAACCATCAACCTTCCCACTTTCAGGAAGCTCAGCACATCAATTAGTCCCATGGTATGACAGTACTTCCAAGGAAATCAGAACATTTCTATCAATAAAACAGGTATGTGAGCTCTGGTCAGTAGGGTAAAGGGTCATTAGGTGAGGATCACTGTTCTATGTTTATTTGATAAAATTCAACTAAGCAAGATTGGCATGGTTTAGAGAACAGATGCTGATTGTTTTCACTTTGATTAGGCCTATTGCTAGCCAAACGGCTCCTGAGATAAAATGTGTTTGAATATAACATATTATTCAATATTTAATAGCACAAGGCTAATGTGAATTTTTAAATCTCAGCTTCACATTTTTTAAGTTACTAGTACTATCATTTAAGTAATAGTCAACAAGCATCTTTATCCTAAACCCTCACTGCATCACATGAATAAAGATTAGGATCTGCTCTGAAGTAAATTGACTTAGGAATAAAAAACAAATGTGTAACTTTGAGAAATACAATTTCTAAAGTACTCATTAAAAATGGCCAATTTTCATGACAATGATTAACAGTAAGGCACAATTCAAAAGCTAAAGTTTTGTTATCATGAAATAAACTGAGAGACAGAAATGACCTTAGGGCCTTACAGCCAAGAATCCACTCTTCTTCTAAAACCTAGCCCAGGAAGAACAAATTTATAACATGTCTTGATTTAATGTACTAGGTTCTCAGAGGCAGTTCTAAAATGATCCTCACTCAGTCAGGCTTTATTTTTAGAAACTAAAAAAATTAGGGATGTTTCTTTTTCATGCCAAATAAATGGTAGTAACTATAGAACCTGTTAGGCCTTTTTTTTTTTTTTAAAGATTTTTTTTTTATTAAATCATTGCTGTGTACATTAATGCAATCACGGGGTCCAGTGTGGTGTTTTCATATGCATTTTGAAATACTCCCATCAAACTGGTTAACGTAGTCTTCATGCCATTTTCTTATTTATTAAGACATTCATACTCTGCTTTTAGAGAGATTCACTTGTACCCTTGTAGGATAAACCATAGAGGTGACTCCACCAATCACCCTCCCTCCCCGCATCCACCCCCTCGCCTCCCCTCTCCCACCCGCCTTCCCATAAGGCTATAATTGGGTTATAACATTCCTATGAAAGCTATAAATTAGTTTCAAAATAGGGCTGTGTACATTGGATACTTTTTCTTCCATTTTTGAGATACTCTGCTAAGAAGAACATTTTCCAGTTCCATCCACGTAAGCATGAAGGAGGCAAAGTCTCCATCTTAGGCCTTTTTCTAAAAGCTTTCTATTTTACTGCTTTAAACATTTTGTAACGGCCACAATCTGATCAGTGCTTTCATATCTTAACCTAATGATCCTGTTTCACTGCATACATACATGACCTACATGCAGCTGCTGTTCCCATTTCAAAATGTCTTTTTAAATGGCTTAGCTGTTAGGCTGTCCCAAGGGAACGAAGGCCCTTGAGATGGATCCATTACAAAAAGCACTTCTGTGTGTTCATACTTTTATTTTGATGCTGCAGACAGGGTTACAGTATTCTTTTTCAAAGAGTATAAATAAACATAGGCACAAGCCGGCCACAGTGAAAGAATTAACATATATCTAAGGAAAAGATCAGAACTTGTGGAAATTACAACCTACTTTTTTTCTCTGGACCAAAGGCTATTGCATATACATACAAGGCAAGTACGGGCACATCATGGGCACCCAAAACAGCCTCTTCACACATCACTTTGGAACTGTAAAAAGATAAGCATCATCAAGCATCTGAATGCTAAATAGGGAAGTCATTCTACTTACTTTCCTGTTTCTATCTTTTAGGGATTCAAGTTTATTCAAAAGTTTAACATATACGATCCTGTATGTACTATTTCTTCAATAATTTCAGAATGATAGTTTAAAGCTTAAGGTCCTTCTGAATTTCCCAAAGTGTTGTTGCACTCTTCTTTAGACGGGCCTCCTCTTCAGACGTCAGCTTTATCTTTATAAGGTCTGCAATACCATTTGCTCCCAGGACACAAGGAACACTGAGGAATACTTCTTCATCTATTCCATAGAGGCCCTTAATTATGGTAGAAACTGGATGTGTTCTCTTCAGATTCTTCAAAATACTTTCTGTTAAATCAGCTACAGACACGCCAATCCCCCAATTAGTGTAACCTTTCATTTTAATAATCTCATAGGCACTGGCAATCACTTCTTTGTGGATATTTTCCCATTGCTCAGGATCTTTATCAGTTCCTATATCAGAGTTCAGAGTCTTTAAAGGGACACCAGCAATGTTCACTCCACTCCACACAGGAACACTTGAGTCTCCATGCTCTCCCAGGACCCATCCATTACAGCTTTCAGAATGGATGCCAAGCTTCTGCCCAATGAGAAAACGAAAACGAGCAGTATCCAGATTACAGCCACTTCCTATAACACGGTTTTCTGGAAAAGAACTCAACTTCCAGGCTACATAAGTTAAGACATCCACTGGGTTGGAAACAACAATCAGTTTGCAGCGAGGGCTGTGCTGTATAATACTGGAAATCATTAATTTGAAGATGGCCACATTTCTCTGGACTAAATTAAGGCGCGTTTCTCCCTTTTCTTGGCGTGCACCTGCTGTGATAATCACTACGTTGGAATTAGCCGTGATAAGGTAATCTTTGCTGCAAGTAATATTTGGCATTTTCATGAAGCAGCTGCCATGCTGAAGATCCATCGTCTCACCCTTCAGTTTCTCTTCATTTATATCTACAAGGGCGAGTTCATCGCTCAAGCCTTTTAGTAAGATGCTGATAGCACAGGCCACACCCACCGACCCAGTTCCTACAATGGAGACCTTGTTGTGGGTAACCGGCTTCTCTGAAGCGAAATTCTTCAGCAGTTTGCTCTCCACAGTCGCCATCCTGGCCCTGGGGAGCCAAGGGCCCCTGAATGGGGTGCGGCGCCTCAGGGCTAGCCCTGGGCTTGGGAAGTTCAGTCCCACCCAGCTCACTCTCCAGTTGGCCCGCAGAAGTGCCAAAGCCCAGCTCATGGTCACTTAATAAATCGAAGAAGAAAATGGAGAAACGCTACAAGCAAGGGCATTGAGAGGCTAAGATGGCTGTTGACCGTTAGAGGCGGTCCAACCTCTTTTCTGAGGTGGCGCAGGCCCCGCCCCCAGCCCG